GTTGGATTAACCGTATCAACCATATTGTTAAAAACTGTAGCATGTCATTAAGTTGCATCAAAACTATGGAAACACAGTTCTGTTGGATTAACCGTATCAACCATATTGTTAAAAACTGTAGCATGTCATTAAGTTGCATCAAAACTATGGAAACACAGTTCTGTTGGATTAACCGTATCAACCATATTGTTAAAAACTGTAGCATGTCATTAAGTTGCATCAAAACTATGGAAACACAGTTCTGTTGGATTAACCATATTGAACCACTAACAGGTTCTATTGTTATTTATCGTATGGTATATCTGCATGTTTTAACATGTTAATGACAAACCCTCGAGTTTTTGTTATTGACAAAAAAAGAGCACTTCAGAAAGTAACAAGTTAAACTACAAAATGATTGAGTAAATATTTAAACTAAAGTGTAGTTTAAAATTAACCCATTTTGATCTTCATTTAAATAAAGATAGCATTAGTGAAAAGTAATGCCTAAAGAATAGGTTTAAAAGGAAACAAAAAATACAACAGGAAAGAAAGAAAATTGTTAATTAAGGAATCTTTGTGTTTCTCAGTGGAGAAGTTAATAATGAGTAATGATTTGTATTAACAGTTTAATAAAACATTTCTGGACTGTCAACCAAGACATTGTAAATTGAGCCTTCTTAAACTACCACACAATTTCAGCCATCTTAAAGCTACCAAAGAAACTGAGCCTCCTTAAGCTACCACAAAACTATATCTTCTTAAGGTTACCACAGAAACTGAGCCATCTTAAAGCTACCACATAGATCGAGCCACCTTAATAATTTGTTTTATTCAAGTTTGAAAATATTTAGCCTAAATATTTCTGTAACTTTCATATTCTCTCCTAAATTTGTGATTTTTGACCATTGGTATGGATCTTGCAGGCTGTTGTTTTATTGTAAACAAGTTTTGCTGTTATCCCTCCTGCATTTTTAAGTGTATTTTGCTGTTATCCCTCCTGCATTTTTATGTGTGTTTTAATGTCGTCCATCTTGCATTTTTAAGTGTGTTTTCCTGTTGACCCTCCCGCATTTTTAAGTGTGTTTTGCTGTTATCCCTCCTGCATTTTTATGTGTGTTTTAATGTCGTCCATCTTGCATTTTTAAGTGTGTTTTCCTGTTGACCCTCCCACATTTTTAAATGTGTTTTGCTGTTGTCCCTCTTGCATTTTTTAGTGTTTTACTGTCATCCATTTTTCAGGCATGTTTTGCTGTTATCCCTCCCACATTGTTGTTTTCTACTGTTGGAGCCATAGAGAATTCTCTGTATTAACATATCCATTTAAAGTACATATATATAGTGGTTTATAGTTAAGACTTCTTTACAAAGCTACACCAATTCATTGTTAAAGAGTAAAACAGTGTTAATTGTTTTGTCAGAAGTTTGTTAAATTAAGAAGTGTTTTGGTTTTGTTTGATACACAACTATGAGGAATCCTGCACTTTTATATCTCATCCAGAATTCTTTTTCCTTTCTTTTTGATTGTAACTTTGCCAGTTGTTGTGTGTACAATATGATAATATCACTAGCATCCCAATCACTACTATTTCTGTCATATCTTAGTTGTTGTGTGTACAATACATACAGTTCTGTTGGATTAACCTTATCAACCATATTGTTAAAAACTGTAACATGTCATTAAGTTGCATCAAAACTACTGACATACAGTTCTGATTCACTAGCATCCCAATCACTACTATTTCTGTCATATCTCAGTTGTTGTGTGTACAATATGATAATATCACTAGCATCCCAATCACTACTATTTCTGTCATATCTCAGTTGTTGTGTGTACAATATGATAATATCACTAGCATCCCAATCACTACCATTTGTGTCATATCTCAGTTGTTGTGTGTACAATATGATAATATCACTAGCATCCCAATCTATTATCATATTGTACACACACAACAACTGAGATATGACAGAAATAGTAATGATTGGGATGCTGGTCGTATTATCAAATTGTCACACAACAACTGAGATATGACAGAAATGGTAGTCGACCAGCATCCCAATCACTACTATTTCTGTCATATCTCTGTTGTTGTGTGTACAATTTGATAATATCACTAGCATCCCAATCACTTCCATTTCTGTCATATCTCAGTTGTTGTGTGTACAATTTGATAATACGACTAGCATCCCAATCACTTCCATTTCTGTCATATCTCAGCTGGCCTGATGAGTCCTGGTTTTTGTTGGCACTTGATGTGGGAGATATAGTGTGATTGACATATTATTACATTCTTATGTACATCTTAGTAATTTTAGCACTACTCCAGATTCAATTGCACATTTTGTACCCAGCTTTTGATTGCCAATAAGGCAGGGGCATTGAAATAGATTAAACACCTGGCCTGTTTAGCCAAATGTTCTTGTTACTATAGTTGTCATTTGTCAGATTATTGGTGAGTTTAAAATATAACAAGTATTAGCACTCTGGTTTCTAGAGGGTATATTACTGTGATAGAGATGAGTAAAATATTAATACGTTAAGAAAGGTAGGTTAACGATTTGTTTGTGTGATAGCGAGATTCTTATAATTACTGCAAGAGGTAGATGTTGACTGGCAAATCTTTCACGCTGGATTTAAATTTCTCACTTTTAATGAAGGATATTGTATAAAAAGTTGTTCTTTAAGCTAAAGATATTATCTTAATATGTGTGAAAATGTTTGTAATATTTGTTCGACAATATTAACTGGCAACATATATTGATAAGTCGAAAAACCAAACTGGACGTGTGATTTGACGCAGACTGGTAAATTAAAAAAGATGATCTCAATGTATAGCTTGCTTCCTGCTGCTGTATTTCTCCCACTAACCTCTCTTTGAACTAGCTTTTATGTGTCCACTAGTCAATGAGGTTTCTGTCAGATCACAGCTTTGTCCACACCTGTCCTTCCTTTAGGCTCCAAGAGCTGACCACTTGCACATTACCCTGTGTCCAGTATCCTTGTCCCCAGCTGTGGACATTATCCTGGAATGAAGCACATGAGTACATGTAGGTAAAGCAAATAATTAAATATTCAACTTCTGGGTCGTTGAAATTTTTTTAGTGTAGAATAAAATGTTGATGAATTTTAACAAAGACAACTGTCGATTATTTTAAATATGTGTATGAAAAAACTTGCTTTTAGGATATTTTTCTGTGTTTAAATGTTTTTTAGTTTTCTCATGATATGTTTTGTATCAGTATCTGACCAGAAAAATAAAAATACATTATTATTTTTTTATTTATGCTTAAAAAATTTGAGAAAGATAAAGAATAAAAGCTGATGTTTCTAATCCTAATATTGTGGAAGAGATGAGAAATAGAAGTCTGTGTTGTTTTTAGTTGTTTTTTGGAGGAAATATAGATAGATTTAATTAGTGTTACAGGTTAAACTTTTGGAGAGTATTTACAGAAATAACTTAAACTTTACTTGCCAAATTGAGGGCTTGAACTTGAGAGAGAGTAAGCTAATCAAGAGATCATTATATACCAAATTCTGTGAACTCAAGTTATCACCTGACCTACCATTGGAGGATACTGTTGCTACATTGTTGTACAATGTGCAGTATTACAGTCATATCTCCCATGGGTAGAACAGGTATTAACTTCAGACAATGACAAAGAAACAAAGGTAGCCAGGACACCATTAGCTTAATGACTTTCCTAACCAAGTGTTTATATGAAAACTGCATGTATTCAGAAGTAACTGATAAAAATAATATTTATACAAGGAGGTAGGAACTTGTGTTTATATATTAGCAACTCACATCCCTCTACACTGTTAACAATTATCTGATATATCACTTTACTCAATTATGATGTGGAAACTTCTTTTACGGATTTTGTTACATTTCATATAATACTGATTATTGATTCTTATAAAATCTTGTATTTTAGAGATTGAGTTTTAACAAATGAGAAAACTTTCCACACCTATTGTGACTTAAATAAGAATGATCTTATAAGCAGGATAATGAAGAAATCTTGAAGTCTCATACATACACATATACATTGGAGTATCAGAAAAAGTCGCAACCAATATTAACTTCCGAACAAAGCTACCTACTTGGATCAAAAGTTTAGTTATAGTATGATAAATCAAATAGACTGGAAATTTCTGTACATTTTGTGTTTTGTGCTATTTTTTGTATGTCATACAGTTGTTATTAGTTGAAATCATTGTATTAGAGCTCTTATATCATACTCGGACTTGGAACCACACGTTCAGGTACTAGAAAAAGTCTGTCAGTGTCTTGACATCTAAACTTTGATAAATATCTATACATTAAACATTTTGTGGGAAGTACCATTAAATTATCAAAACAAACTGTTTTAAATTCTGCTGTTTCTTCATGTTGTACAAAAAGTATGAAGTTAACCCTTCTTCTTCTGATACAGTATTTGTGTTATCTTGTCACAAATAATACTTGTTTTTATAGCTAACTGTACCATACATGTAACATGTACAAAAAGTATGAAGTTAACCCTTCTTCTTCTGATACAGTATTTGTGTTATCTTGTCACAAATAATACTTGTTTTTATAGCTAACTGTACCATACATGT